AGCAGTAGTTTAGGAAATTTATATAATTTAATATTTTCATGTGTTAAAAGGTTACTTGCACTAGATATCTGGTTACTCTTATACAGAGCATTTAAAGTTGCAAAGAGCATTATTATTATTATTATTATTCTTTCAACAAACCGGCCATATCCCACCTAGGCACGGTGGCCAAAAGTAAAAACAAAGGTTCTTTTAAATTTAATTATATATGCAGATGGGATTACTAGCCCCTTGCTCCCGACATTTTAGTCGCCTCCTACAACACGCATGGCTTATGGAGGAAGAATTCTGATATGCTTCTCCATGGAGATAAGAGGAAATGAGAACAGGAACTAGCAAGAAAATAGAAGAAAACCCAGAGGGGTGTGTATATATATGCTTGTACATGCATGTGTAGTGTGACCTAAATGTAAGTAGAAGTAACAAGATGTATCTTAAATCTTACATGTTTATGAAACAAAAAAGACACTAGGAATCCTACGATCATGTGAAACAATTATAGGTTTCCATTGTACACTCACTTGGCAGGATGGTAGTACCTCGCTGAACAGTTGCTGTCTACCAACCTACTACCTAGGAATAATAATAAATGATAATAATTGTTTCTCCAAGTACATGTACAAGATATACAGGCTAAGCTGACATCAATGATGTACAGGTCTGCCTGTACATCATGGCTAGCATAATTTCAAATTTCCAGGGTTGCCACACCAACCTTCTGGTACTGTTTGGTGGCACTACTTGCTGCGTAAGTTTAGTTTAGTTTAATATGTTTATTATGCACCCCATACCCATCCTGTGGGTGGTAGTCAAAAGATTACAGAGGTACATAATTGGTCCAGGGACTGGACTCCAAAGTTTTGATAGCTGAGCAAGTTACAGAGGTAATGAACTCACAATTTACAAAGGTAATGAACTCACAATTTACAAAGGTAATGAACTCACAATTTACAAAGGTAATGAACTCCAGGTAAGTCTGGTCACAATCATGACAAGTTACAAAGGTATTTACAGATTACAGAGGTACGTAATGGGTCCAGGGACTGGGCCCCCAAAGTTTTGATAGCTGAACTAGGTACAAAGGTAATGAGCTCACAAGTTACAAAGGTAATGAATTCTGTAGAATGGTTACTTACGTTTATACTTTGGCTACAATCATGAACAAATTATAGAGTAATGAGCAATTCACACTTCCACACCCGGTCACAACTGTAATGAGTTATTGGTGCAAATATTGATTGTTGAGTCACACACACCACACACTGCGTAAGGCATTCCAATTTCTTTTTCTCCATTTATTGTTTTAACCTGCTTACTTTTAGCCCTAGCCATGGTTCCAATGAATAAAAGAAATGCTTCTCATTATGTAAAGCACCTACACAGTACATTATCCATTAAAGATAAGGTGGCTTTGAAGCCACTGTCGGTTGCCATGAGCTCAGTCTCATGAAGCAGGAGAATATGCTTTATTATTACGCTAATATCAACACTACAGCTTATTTGCCTATCACAATTGATCTAATATGACATAAGAAACAATATAAATAACATAAAACATGTTAAATACTCCAGAATGAATAATATTTGGCATAACACTGAGCAGTTCGACGGAGGTATGAAGAGGATATGGTATACAAATACCATTCTCCTATCCCTGTCTTGGGGGCTTATATTAGAGAAAACGGAGTGTAGCACAGGGCTAACTGTGATATACACTCATACTGCACCATAAACCTGAAACAAAAGTTATTTTCTCTATATAGATTATCACACATAGCAGCATATGTGTAGAGAACCTAGGATAACCCAAAAAAAAGTCAATGTGGCTTATTTTTAGTACCTGGCTTGGGTTAGCCATATATGATTTTTGGTAAATATTCAATTCCCAGCCAGGGTAGAAACATTAGGCGTTTCTTTACACCTGTTGTCTATGTTTACACATCAGTAAATGGATACCTGGGTGTTAGCTGACTAGTGTGGGTGTTATCCTGGGATACTGACCTAATTTTCTTGAAATACTCTGCATAACAAGCGGCTTTCTATACAGTAGTATGTCACTACTGATGTCAGCTTTGTTTGTTGGATTATCTTATTCAAACTTGGGCAATGTATGATGGAAAGATACTTCTTCATGTACACCAAAAATGAAAGAAATCAGACCATAAATAGCGGAGTTCATTTCTCAGCCATTAGCGGCCGCTTAGCCGTATATTTTTGTATGGTTGTTATGGTTATATTCTCATTTTTTCGGTCTCATTTGATAGAATGAAAGATATATTACAGAAATAGATATGATTTTGATTGCTCTCATGACGAAAAGTACCTTGAAATTGCGCTCACAGTAGTGAAAATGTTCTATTCTTTAGCGAAGCTCAAGAGTAAACAAATGACATCACCGTCCAACACCTGTCTGCCTGCCAGTCTAAATTCCAATACGGAGTCAAGAATGGCTTGACATTATTCATACAATTATTACAATAGTGCAGTAGTCTGCATAACAGTAAATCTTCTATTTTTTGTGAATAAAAATTCCAAATGAAAAGCAAGAGTAATATAAGAGGGGCCTGTAGCCATGACTAATGAACAAAGAAACTGTTATTTTAGTGCCAGGAATGTCTGCATTGTTTATTCTGACCCTATTTTGAAATTGGCATCTGTTGAAATTTGTGTGAAATCGGCCAAATTGCCAATTTCTGACCACTTTATTGGGTAGTTGAAATAAGTGAATGGGCAGTTTCTTGTACTCAGTTGACAGACTTGAAGTAAATAAGTTTATTCAGGTATACACAAATACAGTTACATAGATTATCATACATAGCAGTGTATGTATAGAGAACCTAGGATAACCCAGAAAAGTCAGACAAAGTGACTTATTTCCAGTACCTGGCTTGGGCTTGCCATATATGATTTTTGGCAAATATTTTTTTTTTCTCGCTTGTTTGTTGGGCTATCTCATTGAAACTTGGGCAATGTATGATGGAAAGATGCTTCTTAACGTACAACAAAAATAAAAAAGACGGACGATAAATAAGGGAGTTCACTCCTCAGCCATTAGCCGCCTCTTTGCAGTATATTTTCATATGGTTTTTATGGTTGTATTCTCATTTTTTTTTACTCATTTGATAGAATGGAAGATATATTACAGAAATAGACGTGATTTTGATTGCTTTCATGACGAAAAGTACCTTGAAATTGAGCTCAAAGTAGCGGAAATGTTCGATTTTTGCCGATGTTCAATGAACTGTGTAAGTCAAGTTGGTTAATTTTATTAAGTGTATTCTAACCTAACCACTCTGTAATCCGGCAAACTCAGTAATCCGGCACACTACAGGTCCCAATGATGCCAGATTTGTGATGGAGGACCTGTACTACTTTATAGGAAGCCCCTGGTCGTGCAGAGTATTTTGGGCAAATTAGGTCAATTTTGTCCCCAGGATGTGACCCACACCAGGTGACTAACACCTAGGTACCTATTGTGCTGATAGGTGAACATGGACAGCAGGTGTCTTAAGGAAACATGTCCTAGTGTTTCTAACTGTACCGGGGATTGACCCCAGACTTTAGTGTGTGAGCTGAGTGCGCTAGCAATCAAGCTGTGGGATACCTTGTACATTTCAAAGCTCAAAAATAAACACTAAGTAGTGCCACCAGATTCATCAAATCCACAGGCATGCAAAAGGAATAGACAAGAGAAAAAAAAATGCATTACACAAATAACCCCTACATAGGAGAGAGAAAGGCTTATGATGATGATCCTGTCAGTCTTGAGCCATTCATAAGTCACACAGACTGAAGAGAGTGAGTGAGCCAGTTGTCATAAGCTTTCTTCTCTATGTGCAGATTATTTGTGTATTATTCCAGTTATGGTATTGTGCCTTTTTGTTCTTTATTTGTATTGTTATATTTTCTGTAATTTTCCTTAATTTCATATGGCACCCACTTGGTTGCAGTCTTGCCCATTAGTAAAATTTGAAATATATTTCATGGCCATTTTCACGGACGAGTCAGTGGCCATGACTGGATATTGCATTCAGGATGACAGGTGTTGGATTGTAATGTAATTAACAAAACACAGAGTTTTGTGAGTCTTCTGTATTTCAAATTTTCTGATAGGATTTGCCAGTGCACAAGATTGCAGCCATGTGGATGCCACATGAGATTAAAGGAGATTCTCTCTCTCTCAACACATCGACCGTATCCCACCGAGGCGGGGTGGCCCAAAAGGAAAAATGAAAGTTTCTCCTTTTACATTTAGTAATATATACAAGAGAAAGGGTTACTAGCCCCTTGCTCCCGGCATTTTAGTTGCCTCTTACAACACGCATGTCTTACGGAGGAAGAATTCTGTTCCACTTCCCCATGGAGATGAGGAAATAAACAAGAACAAGAACTAGAAAGAAAATAGAAGAAAACCCAGAGGGGTGTGTGTATATGTGCTTGTACATGTATGTGTAGTGTGACCTAAGTGTAAGTAGAAGTCATACCTGAAATCTTGCATGTTCATGAGACAGAAAAAAGACACCAGCAATCCTACCATCACATAAAACAATTATAGGCTTTCGATTTACTCACTTGGCAGGACGGTAGTACCTCTCTGGGCGGTTGCTGTCTACCAACCTACTACCTAGGTAATGGAGATTATAGAAAATTAAACAATGAAATAAAAATGTGTGTTTTTTATCTGTATTTCCCTGAGACACCTGCACCTACAGCAAATCTAATGATGTCATTTGGCGTTTCTTTGAGCTTTAGTTGAAAAATATATTTCAAGTTTTCCACACTTGCAGTAGTCTTCTCAATGAAAAATAGTTTTTTTTTTGTCTTGTGTAATGACCCTCATGTATACAGTACATGTACATATACAGTAACACATGTGATAAATCAATGTGTTTCATGAAAACGAGAGAAAAAATCTAATTTTTTCTGATTAAAGCAGGTGGGCTGATAATCATATTGCATATCAGAAATGACAAGTGGACAGTTTACATTAGGTTCAGGTAAGAGAGGGTTAGTTTAGAGAGAGTATTTTTAAATACTTTACTCCTCAGGGTGCGATTCCCAGATGGGCTTATTCTACAAGGAACCTTTGGAGTCCATGAGAAATTTGAAGAAGTGATAAACTTCATCAGGGAAAATCTTGTCAATGACTGGCGACCATTCTTCCTTTCTCTTAGTGGCGGTGGAAAGGTTAGTGCAGTGTGCAATGTCTTCTTTTCTTATTATTCATCTCTTTCTCAAATTTGTATTTCATTGGTCAGTTATTGTACTGATACAATCCAGATTTGCTCAGTGACTAATGAAAATAAATTTTTTTTTAAAGTTTTATTAGCAGTGTGAGATTGTACCAATTATCATGATGCAAGTGTCAATTTTATTATGAGATGATTTATCTGTGTATTATTTATTGTAGTAGGAATATGTCTTTATTTCAAATTTACACAAATTTCATTTGCAGAGCAAATAAAAACTATAGAATAATTTTTTTTTAACATGTTGGGATCTCCCACCAAAGTGGGATGTTAAAAAAAAAAAAATTCACTGTCATTCATTCAATCACTTTCTTGCCAAAAGTGTGGTGGCATCAGAGTTCAGACGACCCACTGAAGAGCAATCGTCTAATCTCTCTTTTAGAGTGCAGGCATTGTTCTTCCCACCTCCAGGACTCGAGTCCATCTAATCAGTTTCCCTAAATCCCTTCATAAATATTACCTTGCACATGCCACAACAGCATATCAGGTTATGAAAAACCACTTTCCTCCATGTGATCATACAAGCTTGTTGGATGTTCAGTTCACTAACACTTGAAACCTTTAATGCCCTCTTCCCCAACTCTTTCTGGGACAACACCTACCCCTCCTCCCTTCCTTCCTCAGATTTATGTTCCTTTTTAGTTATCCCATTTTGCTCCATCCTCTAAATGCATAAAACCACCTAACCAGCTTCTCCTCAGCTCTCTGAGTAATACTTTTAGTAACCTCACACCATCTTCTAATCTCCAGACTGAATTCTCTGCATGCTATTCAAATCACACATTGCCCTCAAAGATGACATCTCCAAAAGCTCAGTGCCCCAAGGCACTGTCCTGGCACCTCTTGCTGTTTCTCATCCTCACAGCAGATATAAATAAAAACACCTGGCACACTTTTGTATCATAATTTTGCAGATGACACTAAAATAAGCATGAAAGTCACTATGGTAGAGGACACTGAAAAAGTACAAGAAGATATAAGCAGGGTTTTCCAGTGGGCAGTGGAGAACAACATGACGTTCAATGGTGATAAGTTCCAGCTGCTTAGGTATGGAAAGAATGAAGAACTCAAAAGGAGCACTGTATACAAAACTCAAGAGGGTCACCAAATAGAATGTAAGGAACACGTAAAAGACCTGGGAATAATTATGTCGGCTGACCTTTCTTTGAAAGATCATAACAAGACAAAGATCACAACAGCCAGGAAGATAAAGGAGTGGGTATTGAGAACTTTCAAAACAAGGGAAATAATGCCGATAGTGACACTCTTCAAATCACTAGTGCTTCCCCATTTAGAATATTGCTCAGAGCTGATGGCCCCATTCAAAGCAGGAGAAATATTGGAGCTGGAACAAATACAGAGATCGTTTATGGGTTACATTGAGCCAGTAAAGCACCTAAATTACTGGGAACGCCTTCAAGTCTTGAACATATAATCATTGGAGCGGAGGAGAGAGAGATACAAATAATATATACCTGGAAGGTACTGGAGGGCCTGGTCCTAAATCTGCACACTGCCATAACATACTGGAGTGAGGGATATGGGAGGAAGTGTAGAATAAACCCAGTGAGGAGCAGGGGTGCAGTGGGGATAATAAGAGAACACTGTATCAACATCCGGGGTCCCAGATTATTCAACATCTTACCAGAAGATATCAGAAACACGGCTGGGACAAGAGAAAACTGGACAAGTATCTTCACCAGGTGCCAGATCAACCAGGCTGTGATGGATATGTAGGGCAGTGGGCCTCCAGCAGCAACAGCCTGATTGACCAGGCAAGCACCAGAGAGTAGAGAAACTCTCAAAACTCTTCAAAGGTATATCAAAGGTAAGGTATGCCTCCAGCCTCCTCAAAATTGTAAAAAAAAAAAAAAAACATAATTGAAGATCATGTGGTGATGTACATCAAAGATCCTGCAACCACATGTCTGCTAATAGATGGAGGCAGTTTATTGTTTAGTTGTTGTACTCTTTGCAACTGCATGGTAATTATAGAGGAGGGGTAGAGTGGTTGAGGTGTACACAGGAGGGATGAGAGCAGTTGGGGTGAGCTGGTTCATTATGGGATTGAGGGATAAGGAGACCAAGTCCACTGATTCTGAACTTTATCCATTTTTGTTAGGATCATGAAAAATAAATTTTGTAATTTGGAATGTACTGACAACTGGCAATAATGTACACCCTTTCACCCTACTATTTGTCCATTAATATGAGGGTTCACTGCATAATTATATGAACATTTATAAACAAAAAATTACCCTTAAACATTGGCTGTTTCCCATCAAGGCAAGATAACTCAAAGGAAACACATTCATCATCACTCATTATCTAGATGTCTTCCAAATGTGCATAAATATAATTATGAGTAGAAGAGGGTTTCTTCAGATGATTTGGTCATACATTAAGAAAGCAAGGAAGATTAAGAGAGTGGATGAAAAATGATCCAGAGGATGTTTGATTAAGGATTGGGCAGAGGTTTATAATAGGTAGGGGTTTTAACATCCTCAGGCATATATGAGAGATTGGAGTGGGGACATGTGGTCTCTCTGATTTGATATACTGACTAGCCAGACATAAGTTTTGGAGGTGGGAAATGCTATGCCTTCGCTTAATTAGGTGGGGATATTGCAGTTTGATGAGTCAACATTGAATTAATGTTTGTTATCCTCTAGAAAGGCAGCTAAAAAGTAGTGGTTAACTTGTTTTCTTTGAGTAACCCTGTCTTGGTGTGAAACACATGCTTAAGAATGTATCAGCATGTATACTTGTATCTGACAGGTGACAGAGAGTGAGCAGAGTCTGGTAGAGTTACGACTAGTTCCTGCAGTGGTGCTAAACTTCAAGTGGGATCCCAGTATAGAAGATCCCAACCTTGATGATACAGTTTACCTCAAGCCAGAGACATTGATGCTCTTACAGAGTAAATAGTGATGAACACTTATGGACTAATCCTGACTAATAAATATGGGTCTTTCTCTGTATATTTATATTTATTGTACTTACATGTATATGTTGGAAAGAGTGAACAACTTTTTGGTAATATGGTGTTTACATCTAGTGATATTACATGTAAATTATGCATAAAGCATCAGTGTTGACAGTAGAATTTTTCTTTTAGCTTTGGTTTTAAAATGGAGGGGATTTCATCAACCTAAATATTTCTTCTTTCAACAAACCGGCCATATCCCACTGAGGCAGGGTGGCCCAAAAAGAAAAACAAAAGTTTCTCTTTTTAAGTTTAGTAACTTAAACAGGAGAAAGGGTTACTAGCCCTTTGCTTCCAGCACTTTAGTCCTCTTACAACATGCATGGCTTACGGAGGAAGAATTGTGTTCCACTGCCCCATCTTATTCTCTGTATATATCTGCTCTTCCTTATTTAATTAATTTAGTTTTTTATTCCAATCAGTATTGCAATACGAGACATTTTATCTGTTCTTACAATATTTATGCTTCATATAAAGTTAACTTTCAAATCAAATTCTTAGTCACTTTAGATAAATTCATAAATAGAAGTCTATGATTGCCTCATTGACAAAATTTGAAAATTATAAACAGTGTATAATTTTCTTTTTTGGCATTTTTTTTCCTGGTTTTCCTTGAGGCGATGATTTTTTTTTCCTGAATTTTTTTTAGCAGTCTTGGTTTTTGATAGCTTATATATTATTGTCTATGGAAAACACTCAGTGTTTTATTCGTGCCTTAGTATTGCTATTACCTCTTCATCATTTATGACACATACCCATATCAACAAAACTTACCAAATATTTTATGTTGAGTATTAGAATTCATTTTAAATTTGTTTTTGATACGTGTCTAAATGAATCTGATTTTTTCTGAGATTTTATTGATCCTAAAGTAATTGTTCTGTAGTGTTTTTGAGTTTAGTTTATTATAAAGCATACATAAGAGAGACATGGTTATGTATTGTCATAGCTATGTATCTGTAATTTGCTCATTTCCCTAAAACTGCTGTCACTTTGGCCATAATTTTTCCCACAATATATTGCCATAGAGCAATCTTAGTCACAGTGAATCTCATGTGTGTGTTACAAAAACATTCCTCTGTATATGAAAAATTGACTGTCATACTAGATAATTAATTCACAGTGACACTTCATTATATTTAATGTATTTATATAATATAATAAATATATTAGCCCCTTGTTAATGGTTCTAATGCTTAAATTAGTATATTATATTTTTTCATTATGAACAATGCATGTAAATATTATATCCATATACACTATTCACATGTATTGTAAAATTAAACTTCAGGTTTGATTAACTTGAAATTAGAGACAGAGTATCATGATACAAGGTGTCCTAGATTTGGAGCAAAAAATTAACTACAGTAGCACATTGCATATACTAGCAAGTTTTGTTTGCAGCACCCACTTTACTGTTGATTGACTGCAAGATGCTACTGTTGATTTTGAAGTGGTTCACTCACCTGTAACAACAAATGACACCTGTGTGATTTAGCATCTTAGCTAAGACAAATTTTGTTGCCATAAAATAGGCACAGACACTTTAGTGTTTCCTAAATGAGCAGACAAACTGTGTAATCTGAGCTGCTTTCACATTAGGACAAGCTGCTGCTTTTGTTCTCTGCCTTGCCAGAAAACAATGACGTGTGTAACTGGTTTAAGGTTTTTGCTTACATAAGGGCTTAAAGGATAGTTAAACTTAGCAGACAGAATTGAGCCTCTACCATTCTTTGGTAAGTGACCAGTGTTCCCTTTACATGCATACTCTATCCTTAAAGTCAGTTCTATGATACTGTGACTATTTTCCTTGAGTCGGCCATCTTGACACCTCATGGCATTGTCTTCTGAAAAGTTAGCTGTTCGGGGTTGTCAGCGTTTGCCACTATAATGGTTAAGCTCACAATTACCAGGCAGTAGATCAAGCTGCCAACAATCCATGTGTTGAATGACCCTTATAGGGCTAGGCTCACTATATGCAAAAAGTAGATCAAGCATCTATCACCCCTTGTGCTGCTTGACCCATTACAGTTTAATGCTTTACACAAAACTTAGAAATTTCATGATGACTAACCATGTTGACACTGGAATCTTTCCAGTGATATTAGTCTTACTTATTTGTGTTTGATGTTTATACCTGGCCAGTCATCCTGATATCTACAATTGGTCTCGACTTCACCTATAACTAATGAACATTCCTGCAGTTGTCATTTGCATTGTTACATTAAAATCTTGATACTTTGTGCTTATAATTCCATGTAAGATATAGCCACCTGATACTGGAAACAATTTTGCATTGAATCCATATTGACTATGTTAAAAGACATGCAACATGCTGAGGCAAACTCTGGCAGTTTTGTAAATGAATATTGTTGGAAAGCAAATGCATTGTATTATATTGCTGAACAAAATAGTCAACCATTATAACTAATATCAACATAATTTTCGTTTTAATTATCAAACAAAACACATCCTGTTTATGTGGTCCAGTGATTTGGGTAATTGCATTTCTTGTAGATGACTTCAGAACCAGTGGTAATAGCAGTTTGAATAACCCTTAAAACCCATCTTTCATAGGTCAAGCACTGTTCTTTCTACCTTAGTTCAGCTATTTTAAGTTATAAAAATACAAAATTATGCTATATAATAGTTTAAATAAACATGGTCGTGGAAGATATACAATATAACCTCCATATATATACTACATTTCTTTCATAAAAAGAATTGCCTGCTAAATATTTGGCCTCTGCCCCCTTTTTCTTTTCTTTTAGCTCAGCTTGTGACCCTTAAATTGAAAAGTAACAATGGAATTCATTCAGTTTGCTCAATGGATTTCCCACTCACAAATCTCTCTTGCTTTTGAGAAATTCTAAGATGATGATTCCCTTTTGCCACATCATGTCAGTTCCCAGCAAGTATCATTTCTCCATAAAAAAGTGTTAGTGCTCAAGCAAGTTTCAGCATTATTTTTTTTATTACAAGCCATAATTTTCCTGTATGTAACATTTATTTTTGTTAACACATTAATTGAATACAGTAACCCATTCATCATGAGAATTTATGTAGTGCTATTTTGTTGTAAAGTGATTCAAATGAGTGCAGCCAAAAATTTTGATAGTTCCCTAAAATAATGATGTAAATAAAAAAAAATGTTTGGGCATTACTCTCTTTGACCACTAGCAGTGTAGCTTTCTGTACCATTTTCTAACAGCATTACTGTATTTTCCTTTGATATTACCAGTAATTTTTCAAATGCATTCATCTCCTAATGTTTGGTATTGTTTGGCAAGGAAATGTGGCTTTTATTATGACAGTGTTCATATACAGTGGACCCTCGCCTAACGATATTAATCCGTTAGGCGAAATTATCTTTAGCCGAATTAATTTTCCCCATAAGAAATAATGGAAATCAAATTAATCCATTCCTGACACCCCAAAGTACGAAAAAATTTTTTTTTACCACATGAGGTCAGACAAATCTTTCGATTTGTCTGACCTCCGCTCTCCTTTGACTATGTTTCTGGTCTTTCCCTCTACGGTGTGGTAATTTTCGAATCACCAGCCTGCTTCACGTTGGACCAACTCCGGTCCCACTCCTAAACGCCAATGACAATTGCCTGATGATGGTACTTCACCACCACGTTCTTCTCAGAAAAGATCAACACATTAAGCACTCCCTTTCCATGCTCAGTTTTGGAATGCACAATGGACTAAATTCTTTACTTTACGACCGACTTCCTCTATTGCCTATCTCTCCGACCATAGTATTGGCAAGGCACTCCTCCGCCATGTTGGTAGAGATATTTCCTTCCATGCTCTGAAGAGCAGTACGTGCATCATCACTGTTCAGAATGCTACCCAAGCTCATGATCTTTCTCTTCTTTCACATATCGATACTATTCCTGTCACTATCGAAAAACATCATTCCTTCAATTCTTGTAGTGGTACTGTCATTCTGCCCCATACCATAGTCCAACAGAATTTTCAGGCATGTGGCAATGACATTCTTGAACAGCTGGAACTCCAAGATCTCCCAATCCTCAAGGTAGATACTTATGTCCTTCCTGCCCATGGGCAGAGACGATACCCTTGCAATGTGGCTCGATTAACTTTCGACAGCCATGAACTCCCGTTCTCAGTTTATGTAGCAGGACATCGGTTACAAGTTTGAAAGGTGATCCCTACACCGCAAGTGTAGAAATTGCTGGCGATTTAGTCACCCAGCGAAATATTGTAGATCTACAACTGAATGCCTAGTCTGTGGTGCCGATGACCATTCTAATACGTCTTGCAGTCGACCTCTCTCTTGCCTTAATTGTCATGAGGCTCACCCTTCGTACTCTCGCCATTGCCAGGTCTACTTAAATGAGCGTGAAATCCGTTGCCTCAAAGAGGCAGAAGGTCTCCCTTATGCTATGGCAGTTTCTCATCTCCGCCTCCAAGGGAGACTACCTCATGTTTCTTATTCTCGTGTTTCAAAACGTCCCCCCACTTCTGGGGTCCCATCTTCTGCAGCCTCCTCTGTTGTTACCCCTCCCATAGTCACTCCTGTATCTAATCCTTTTGCTGTCCTGGGCTTAGACATCCTCAGTCTGTTCTGATATCTTCAAGTTCTCCCTCACACACCCCGGTATCGACAAGATCTCGTACGACACCTTCTACCAATTGCCCCTCTACTCAGAAGTTCAAAAAATTCCCTTTGCTCAAATCTTCTTTGCCCCCTCCTTCCCTTCTTCCACCCCCACATTTTACCTTTCCAGTCTCTGTACCTGGTTCTTCCCCCCCTCTCACTGGCTCTATTACAAGTGTGGAGGTTCACCCTCCTCCTCCTTGTTCTGTGCCTTCCTCCTCTCCTCAAGGGGGGGCTCCTTGGCATGGTGAAGAGGCTCTTGGTCTGAGGAATTAGACCTGTCGGTCTCCTTCCTCAGACCGAGCCTAATTACCCCCCAATCCCCCCTTCCCTATCCCATCCTCCCCTTTTTCCTTTCCTCCTCCTCCTCCCCACCCCTCCCTTTTGCCCTTCCTATTTTTGGCCTTTGGGATTTTTCCCACAGGCACACTAGTTCATAGGTAGGGGGAAGGGTACCGGTGGCGTAGTTTGCCATGGGATCTGGATCGCCTGGGGATGTCCCAATCCCTCTCCGGTATCCCGGAGGGTGGCTTTGGGTGTCTTTTGGATGACGGGTGTATCTCTGGAAGCCACCTTTCGGATTCCGGGGGTGGTGGCTGAAGGAGGTATGCCTTGTGGCGGATATCCAGCCACCCTCTCTTTTGTCCACTGAGGTAGCTTGGCAGATGTGAAGTTGCTATCCCAGATTGCTGGTTTACTGGCATGAAGGGTAGGGTATGGCACGGGTTCCATGCTGCATCTGTGCTACTTGTGGTGCTGAGGTCCTCTTGGGTGCGGAGGGAGATTTCTGGCCCTTTCATTCCTCCTAGGAACTATCCCTCCCCGGTCTCCCCCCCCTTTTTTATTCTTTTTTTTTTATTTTTCTTTTATTTTCTTTTTTTTTTCTTAAAAAACAAAAAGAAAGAAGTAACCTAACCATGGAGTCCCAATCCATGACCCTGCTACCCCCGGGCCCCTTATTGTTACCGCACCCTGTTCTGACCTTGCCTCATCTTTTGGACACTCCTAAGGCCCCTGTACCTCTTGCTGGTGCTGTTTCCTCACCCGCTTTAGGTAATGGGGCTTCCACTGACTCCTTCGATTTGTCTGACCTCCGCTCTCCTTTGACTATGCTCCCGGCCTCTCCCTCTATGGTGCGACGATTTTCGAATCGCCAGCCTGTCTCACGTCGGACCGACTCTGGTCCCACTTCTAAACGCCAACGACAATCTCCTGACAATGTTACTTTGTTACCTTCCCATTCTAAACGGAAAAGACCGACATGTAATGCACTCCCTCTCCACACTCAGTTTCGGACCACACAATGGACTAAATTCTTTACTTTACGACCGACTTCTTCTACTGCCTATCTTTCTGACCACAGTACTGGCAAAGTGCTCCTACGCCACGTTGGTAGAGATATTTCCTTTCATGCTCTTAAGAGTGGTACGCGCATCATCACAGTCCAGAATTCTACCCAGGCTCATGATCTTTCTCTTCTTTCACAAATCGATACTATTCCTATCACTATCGAAAAACATCATTCCCTCAATTCTTATGGTGGTACTGTTATTCTGCCCCATACCATAGTCCAACAGAATTTCCAGACATGTGGCAATGACATTCTCGAACAGCTGGAACTCCAAGATCTCCTAATTCTCAAGGTAGACAATTATGTTCTTCCTGCCCGTGGGCGAAGACGATACCCTTGCAATGAGGCTCGTTTAACTTTTGACAGCCGTGAACTCCCATCCTCTGTTTATGTAGCAGGACATCGGTTACAAGTTCGGAAGGTGATCCCTACACCGCAACAGTGTAGGAATTGCTGGCGATTTGGCCATCCAGCAAAATATTGCAGATCTATAGCCGAATGCCCAGTCTGTAGTGCCGATGACCATTCTAGTAAATCTTGCAGTCGACCTCCCTCTTGCCTTAATTGTCATGAGGCTCACCCTTTGTACTCTCGCCGTTGCCAGGCCTACTTCAATGAGTGGGAAATTCGTTGCCTCAAAGAGGCAGAAGGTCTCCCTTATGCTATGGCAGTTTCTCATCTCCGCCTCCAAGGGAGACTACCCAGTGTTTCTTATTCTCATGTTTCAAAACGTCCCCCCACTTCTGGGGTCCCATCTTCTGCAGCCTCCTCTGTGGTTGCCAGTCCCATAGTCACTCCTGTATCTAATTCTTTTGCTGTCTTGGGCTCAGATGTCCCTACTTCAACACCTCAGTCTGTCCTCACTTCTTCGTGTTCTCCCTCACAAACCCCAGGTATCGACAAGACCTTGTACGATACCTCCTCCCAATCGTCCCTCTACTTCTCAGAGATCCAACAAATCTCCTTTAACCCCTCCTTCCCTTCATCCACCTCCACATTTTACCTTCCCGGTCTCTGTACCTAGGTCTTCCCCTTTCACTGGCTCCGTTACAAGTGTGGAGGTTCATCCTCCTCCTTGTACTGTGTCTTCCTCCCCTGTCCCCTCCCAAGTTTCTTCCTCTGTTGCCACCTTCTGGGTTTCTGCCTCTTCTGTCCCCTCCCACACTTCTCCAGTTCCCTCCACCCTTTCGCCCCCCCCCCTACCTTGGTACAATCCATTACAGCTCCGATCTTTACTCAAACTCCTCCTCCTTCCATCTCCAATATTGTCTTCCATATGACGTCTCTGAACTCCGAAACACTTGAAGCAATCTCTAAATATACTGCAGAGACCAAACCATCAATGGACACTGATCCACCCTCTGTTCCTTCTCTTTCCTCTTCTCCATCTGCACAACTCCTTTCTTCACAACGCACAGTTCCTTCGCTACTTGAACGTTTTCCTTTGCCACCACATGTGGA